TGAGCCACAGGGCCACTTCCGGCTTTTTTCTTTTTGCTTATGTGGTGCTGAGGAATCGAACCCAGGGCCTCATGCGTGCAAGGCAAGCGCTCTACCACTGAGCCACCTTCCCAGCCCCCCAGTTTTAGTTTTTATAACTTAAATTTGTCCCTGTTAGGTTCTTTTTTTTTCTTATTTGAACAAGCAAGGAACTCTCTCTTCTCAGGAATACCTTACTGATTAAAATTTGTAAAAGGAAACTATCACTGAGTGGAATGTTCATTTTATGCTAGTTATTTTATTATTTAAAATACATAGAGGAAAATATTGTTGAAGGATCTTTTTGTCACTTTCTCTTCTAGTGTTTCTTCCCATCTTTTTTGGTCCTTATGTGGTCCTTCTGGTCCTTATATATTAGCAACCTGAGAGGTGGGTAGTGGGTTTTGCCAAATGACACCAGTTTTAGATCAGGGATGTACACAGTCATCTGAGGGAAGAGGTTTTCAAAAGGACTTGTATTTGAAAGGGTAGCAGGTTAGAATTCCTCTGAAGTCCCAGCTGGGAAATAGGGATGTATCCAATACTTATAACCTCTTCCTTTGATCCTGTAGATTTCAGTGCCGGATGAATATTTGGAGTAGGTTGAGTATATTTTTTTTGCATTTTTATTGTTTGATTAGTATCCTGAGAAATGGACATTTCATCATGTAAAATTCCTGTTCTTCTGGAAAGGCTTTTGTTTTGATGTTCTTGAATTATTTTCTGACCCAGAATTATCCTTTAAAAACAAAACAAAACAAAAAGTCAAGATATCTAGAGCTAAAAAGCACTTCATGAGATGCTAGAGCTGATCCATTTGGTTGAAATGTTGACCTTATCCTGTTACTTAAATGTGAACATTTATTGTATATTCAGTGAGTTATAGTGTTAATAGTCTTGTGCTACCCAGCAGGTGTAAAAATTAATAAATATTTTTTCTAATAAACATGTGTTTCCTTTGTGTATATGAAGCTGTGTGAAGCTGCAAGAGCTATTGGTGTGGTTGGAGTGGTGTTTTGTTCTTGTTTTGCTTTTTTAATTACACGTTAATTTCTGGTTTCTGGTTGGGCATTTAAGAAACTTGAAAGTCCTTTCAGGCATTGGTGACTCACACCAATGGCTACTCTGGAGGCTGAGATGTGGGGATTATGTTTCTAAGCCAGACCAGGCATGAAAATCCGTGAGACTCCAATTAACCAGCCAAAAAAGAGCCAGGAGTGGAGGTATGGCTTAAGTGGCAGCCATGAGCAAAAAAAAGTCAAGGGACAGCACCAAGCCCCAAGTTCAAGCCCAAGTACGAGCACACATAAACACACACAGAGTCAAATTTACCAGGCTCATGCCTGTAATCATAGCTACTCAGAAGGCCGAGGTCTGAGGATCACTGTCTTAAGACAGTCCAAGGCAAGAAAGTCCTGAGACTCTTTTTTTTTTTTTTTTTTGGGTCCGGTTGTGGGGCCTGAACTCTGGGTCTGGGCGCTGTACCTCTGCTCTTCAGCTCAAGGCTAGCACTCTACCACTTGAGCCATAGCACCACTTCCAGCTTTTTTCTTATGTGGTGCTGAGGAATCGAACCCAGGTCCTGGAGCATGCAAGGCAAGTGCTCTACCACTGAGCCACCTTTGGAGCCCCAGTCCTGAGACTCTTATCTCCAATTAAATACCAGAAAGCTGGAAATGGAGCTCTGACTCATGTGGTAGAGTGCTAGCCTTGAGTTAAAAAGCTCAGGGACAGTGCCCAGAACCTGAGTTCAAGACCCAGGACTGGTACCAAAAAAAAAAAAAAGGTAAAGTTGTGAAAGTCTCTACTTATCCCATAAACAAATATAAAAGCTGAATAAGTCAAAACATCAACAAATTTTCTTAAATATATCACTGAAGGGAAGTCACGGGCCACAAAACTGGAGAGGCTAGCAGTGATTCTCTCTAGACACTATGTTGAAAATAAACTATACAACTTAGGGATGGGGACAGGAAGGAAAAACAGTGAGGGAAAAGGGGTGATAGTGTCCAAAAAGAATTGTGCTCATTACCTGATTGATTTATGTAACTTCAACCCCTCTGTACATGACTTTTATAGTAAGAAAATAAAAAAAAAAAAACAGGTGATAGAAAGTATCACACCTAATGAACAAGTATTTATTAGCAGAAGCCTCTAAGGGAGCTAATGGAGAGCAGGAAAACCTGACTTGTAATTGATACATTGCTGAAGGTACAGTCTAGACAACTCTTTAGAGATTAATAACTCCAGAGGGTGCCACACTAGGGCAAAAGGGATTCTTTTTTTTTTCCTTTTTTTCCTCTTTTTTTTTTGGGGGGGGTGTCTGGTCATGGGGCCTGAACTTTGGGCCTGAGCGCTGTCCCTCAGCTCTTCAGCTCAAGGCTAGCACTCTATCACTTGAGCCACAGTGCTACTTCCGGCTTTTTTTTCCTGCTTATGTGGTGCTGAGGAATTGAAAACAGGGCCTCATGCATGCAAGGCAAGTGCTCTACCACTGAGCCACCTTCCCAGCCCTCTTTTTTTTTTTGGATCGGCTGTGGGGCTTGAACTCTGGGTCTGGGCACTGTTCCTGAGCTCTTCAGTTCAAGGCGAGTGGTCTACCACTTGAGACACAGTGCTACTTCTTGTTTTTTGGTGGTTAATTGAAGATAAGAGTCTCATGGACTTTCCTGCCCAGGCTGGCTTTGAACTGCAATCCTCAGATCTCAGTCTCCTGAGTAGCTAGGATTGTAAGTGTGAGCCACTGGCGCCCAGCCATATTTCTTCTTTGAGCTTTACCTCCAGGAACTTGGCTAGGTTTTCACCGTGAATATTATGGAACAATCCCTTGGTGCTGCTGAGGTATGTGAGGGGGGTAGGGGTGACGACAGTAGTGGAGAGCCAGCCAGAAACCATTCTGAATATTCCAGAAGATTCTACTACTTAACAATGACTATTTTCAGAAGAGGAGATAAGTTAATCAGAGTCCAACGGGCATATGTTTTATTAGAGCCTAACTGACCCAGCCTATGGGAAATAAAAACCCAATTCCTCCATCTAACTATAGCCATCCTTTGCCACCTAAGGAGGAGAAAAACAGAAACAATTGTGAAGGTAATCACTTAGAATCACAAAGACCAAATCTAGGATTCTAAAATATCCTCCCCCGCATCTAATCCCCATCTAGCTAGAGACCTACTTGCAGAAATTATCTTAACTAGTTCATTACAGGGCTGAGAGCTGGTGGCTCACTCCTGTAATACTAATCATTCAGGAGGTTGAGATCTTAGGACTGAGGTTCAAAGCTACCCCAGGCAAGAAAGTTGTGAGACTCATCTCCAAGTAACTAGCAAAAGCTGGAAGTAGAGTTGTGGCTCTAGTGGTAGAGTGCCTGACTTGAATGAAAAAGCTAAGGGACAAATCTCAGGCCCTGAGATCAAGTCCCAGGACTGGCGAAAAACAGAACAAAAAAACAAACCATTTTGTGTGCGTGGAGTGAGGTGTGTGTGTTTATGTGTGTATGTGTGTGCTGGTCCTGGGCTGGTCCTTGGACACTGTCCCTGAGCCTTTTTGCTCAAGGCTAGCACTCTACTACTTGAGTGCTACTTCCAGCTTTTCAGTCGTTAATTAGAGATAGGAGTCTCACAGACTATCCTGCTTGGGCAGGCCTTGAATTACAGGCTTGATATGTTGAATTGAAACCCCTTTGTATAACTACTTAAAGCTAATTAAAAAAATAAGAACACAACCCTAGAAATACTGGCCAAAGACACCTTGCAAAGAATATATACTGATGACAAGGAAGTATCTGAAAAGATACTCCAGTTCATGTCATCAGGGAAATTCAAATTAAAACTATATGAGATGCCACATTATGGCTACTCTCCAGAACCATGACAACACCAAAATGCTACCAAGAATCTGGTCATAGTCCCAAGGAAAGAGAAACCTTGATGATAATGATAATATAAATATATTTAAATATTTATACAAGGGTGGTTTCTAGTTCAAGAACCTCCCAACAGCCTTACCAGAATGAAGGGCATCTTTTCCACAGTGGAGCAGGTGGATGGAGGAGCATGGGAAATCAGTGTTTTCCATAGAGGACAAGACATTAACTTGTGCTGCTGGCTGTATTCTCTGATATATTTCTATTCAATCCAGAGAACTGAAGGTGGTCTCTGCATCACTAGGGGAGCAACCAAAATCATGATATGTTGAACAAAAACATACTGTGTATGTGTGTTTGTGTGTATGTGTGTGTGTGTGCGCGCGCGCGCGCGCGCGCGCTCTTTTTTTTTCTGTGTTCTCCCTGTGGTTTTTTTTTTTTTTTTTTTTTTTTTTGCTCAAAACTAGCTCCCTACCTTGAGTCACAGCTCCAGCTCTGGCTTTTTTCGGTAGTTATTTGGAATTAAGAGTCAGACTTTATTGTCTGGGCTGGCTTTGAACCGTGATCCTCAAATCTGTCTCCAGAATAGCTAGGATCACAGGCGCGAGCCGCGGGTGGCTGGCAGAACACTGTCATTCCAAATGCACTTTCTGGGCATTGGGAGCATGGAGATGTGAGGAAAGAAAATCAGGGGCTCAGGTTGAGGTCCGTCTTTTCCTCTCTGAATCCGGAGAAACCAAGATTTCCTCCACTGTAGAATGAACATTTGGCCGGTCACAGGTGCTGGGCACATGCGGCCCCAGTACAAAGACAGTGGAGAGAACTTGGTTGTCACAGTGCTTAATGTAAACGTTAGCTTGAAGGACCTTCATTTCTCCCGGCAAAGAACTGCAACTTCTTTCTGCCTTCCCCAAACTCCTAAACCAAGTGAGGACACCGTGGATCGCAGCGTTCCTCTGACACCAATGGACAGGGCGTTTACAGACGGCCCCGCTGCTCTGGGCCCCGCCCCCAGCTCCGCCCCTCGCCGGCCCCGCCCAGACAAGCCCCGCCCCTTCCGCCGCCCGAGCCCGGAGCGTGCACGCACCCGCACGCCTTGCGGGAGCGAGCGCGTCCGGGAGCCCGCGGCTGGAGAGGCGCTGCGGGTTGGGAGACCCGCGTCCAGGATTCTGGTGAGGGCGGGCCCAGGGCGGCGGGAGGGTTAAAATGTGGCCCGGGGGCGGAGAGAGGAAGTGGGGCTCCTCGGGCGCCGCCTCCCGTGGGCTAGGGGCAGGAAGCTGGGCGTTGGGAGCGGGGCGGCCCGTGTGGGTGAGGGTTAGGGTTAGGCACCGTGTGGGGGAGGGGCGGGGTGCTGTGCAGAGGGGCGGGGCCGGAGCCCGGCGCGGGGTGGGATGGGGTGGGATTTGCTGTCACAGGCGAGGAGTTTGGAATAGGCAATTGCTCTGGAGGGAACTGTTTAATTCTGCTTGCGGAGAGTCCTGGAGGGTAGGTCCGTGAGCCAGGTGCAGAGGGAAGGCCTTTGGGAGAGACTTTCTTGGTCCCCTCAAGAAGTCCAGGACACCCAAGACTCACACCGATGGCTTCCGGGTTCCAGCTCTCTGGTAGCTCTGCTTGCTTTTCTTTAATTTGAGATCCTGTTTAGAATAGTTGGCAGAGTACTGGACACTGGTGAAAGTGAACTATGCAACTCGTGGGTGGAGATGGGAGGGAGGGAATGGGAGAGAATGAGGGAACAGATGACCCTGAGAAAGGACATGTATTTATTACCTGACATATATGAATGTAACCCTGCTGTATAGCACCTCTAAAACAACAGTAACGAAAGTTTAAAAAAGCCCCCCAAAAGAATTGTTGGCAGGGCAGAGGTTGTCACAGGGATATATTACAGTTAGTTAAACATCTTGTTGTAACTGAAGAAATTTACAAGTAAGTTGTATAGGTAAGTGCCTGACAGCAGTTACTGCAGTTGTTCTGCGTAGTATTAATTCTGTCATGGGGATTTTATTCTAAATATCAAGTTGCTTCTACATTAAAAAAAAATACAAAACTCAGGTGCAATGTGCAGAAGGCTGATGGGACACAATGACCTGGAAACTACCCAGCTTCCTTAATCGAATACTAATCTCTCTGATGTATCTTTACATAGATTTGAAATCTGTTCAAGAGAACTTTAAGGGGAGAGACACTTCAGGGTTTGCTCATTATCATTTGAGAATTTTGGAAATGAGACATACCTACATAAAGTGATACAAACTGTCACTTTGTTGGAAAATATTTATTGCAAGATTCCAGGATTGAAAATTACAATAGAGAGATCCTGGTCCAACTCCTCTGTGGCTTACAGGTAAGGAAATTGATGCCTGTTGAGGTAAGATTTTTTCAGAAGGTCACAGAATTACTAGCTGATCTACTCTAGAAGTTTGGCATTTGAACTGAGACTTATTTTTCCTTTACATTTTAGTATACTTTGTTCATTTGTAGGAATAGGAGCTAGAGAGAATGATTTAGCAAAGGTTTACAGAGGGATTGAGTTCAAGTTCCTGCTGGAAATGTTGAGAGTCCTGTGGCTTCAACTTCTCTGATTCCAGTCATCAGCTTTGTGAGATGTTCTCTGAAAATGTTTAGTATATTATTTTCTAAAGGTGGCCAGCAGTATTCAGTTATTACATGAGGAAAAAAGTAGTATTAATTCACATGGTTGTAAAGATCAGTGGATTGAAGCCAAGCACTTGTGGCTCACACCTCAAATCCTACCTAATCAGGGAGCTGAGATGTGAGGATTGAGAGTGAAAGCCAGCCAGGGCAGGAAAATCTGTCAGACTCTTTATCTCCATTTAACTACCAAAAAAAGTTGGAAGTGGAGTTGTAGCTCAAGTGTTAGAGCTCTATATTTGAGCAGAAAAGTTCAGGGACAGTGCCCAGGCCCAGAGTTCAAGCCTCTGGACTGACACCAAAACAAACAGCTGATTGAACTACTGACTTTACTGGTTGTCAGTAGGTACTTGAAACATCAGGACTAATAATCCTGTCATTTTAGGATTTAAATTGAGTGTTTCTGCAAATATATTGTATAGTGATAAGAATTGGATTTGGGCTGGGTGGGTGGTTTATGCCTGTAATCTCAGCTGCCTGTGATTCAGAGATAGGAGGTCATTTGAAGCCAGTCTGGGCAAAAATTTGTGACATCTTGTCTCAAAAACTAGCTCTGATGGCCTCTAACTGTAATCCTAGCTGTTTGGGAAGCAGAGGTAGGAGGATCACAGTTCAAGGCTGGTCTCAGGCAAAAAGTTTGTGACTTTATAATAATGAAAGCAAAAAGGGTTGGTGGTATGGCTCAAGTGATAGAGCATTTGCTTAGCATGCATGAGGCCCTAAGTTCATACCCCAACCTATGAAAAAAGAACATGGCTTTGCAGATAGACTTAGGTTTGGTATAGCCTCTGGAAGACAAGTTGATTACCTATTTTCATTTTATTCATTCTTTCATTTATTTATTTTTGTGTGTGTGCAGTACTGTGCTTGAACTCAGGGCCTCAACCTCTCAGTTTTTTTCTGCTCATGGCTGGCACTCTACCACTTGAACTACATCTTCAGTTCCAATTTTTTGCTGGTTAATTGGAGGTAAGAGTTTCAGACTTTTCTGCCCAGCCTAGCTCTGACCTGAGATTCTCAAATTTCAGGCTCTTGAGTAACTAGGATTATAGATGTGAGCTACTTTCACCTAGCAAATCTTTAATTTTAATATCAGTAGAATAAGTGTAAATATCCCTGTTGCAGGAATTAAATGATATATATAAATGTCTTACTCGGCCCATTTCAAGTAAGTGTTATAGTTACTGTCTGAGGCTTGCTAGTATACATAGATTTGCAGTATGTTTTATAACAATAAAGAATTAAAATGCCAAAAAATACTAAATTGTTATAGTGGAGTGATTATTGAAGTGGGAACTCTGTCACTTGTGGGGCTTGAACTCAGAGCCTACTCACTGCACTGTCTATGAACTTTTTTGCTCAAGGCTAGCACTCTACCACTTTGAGCCATTGTTCCATAGCCAGTTTTCTGGTGATTGATTGGAGATAAGAGTCTCTGGGACTTTCTTACTCAGGCTGGCTTTGAAGTGTGATCCTTAGATCTCTGCTTCCTGAATAAGATTATAGGCGTGAGCCACCAGCGGGTTTTTTTTTTTTTCCTTTGATTAGCCTGGGTGCAGTCTCACTACTTGGAGCCACTTCTGGTTTTCTGGTGGTTAATGGGAGATTAAGAGCCTTACAGACTTTACTGCTTGAGCTGGCTTTGAACTACAATCCTCAGATCTCAGCCTCCTAGTGGCTAGGATTTTGGCATGAGCTACCAGTGCCAGGTTGACTTGGGATCTCTTCATTATGACTGATTTGTTTATCATTTATTTTCTGAATGTCATTCTATGTCCCCAAAGGAAAGTATAAGAAACTTTATGAATGTTGGAGTTAGTGTAGATGCATTTTGAAAGACAGCTTTTCTAGAAAATTCCGGTGGGGAAGCAGTATAGGAAGGGAGGGAGAAGAGCTTCATTTATTTATTTATTTATTTATTTTTGCCAGTCCTGGGGCTTGAATTTGGCCTAGGCACTGCCCCTGAACCTCTCTGTGCTGAAGGCTACCAAAGAGCTTGTTTTTATAGTAAGATGTGAAAGTCAGTTTGAGAAGTATTTTCCAGAAGAGTGTTAGCATCAGATTTCAGCATTTCTGCCTCAAGATGCATATTTTTGTTAGGGATACGTTGGAGAATAATGGATTCTTTGGATCATATGCTGACGGATCCCCTGGAACTTGGTCCTTGTGGAGATGGCCATGGCACCCGCATTATGGAAGATTGTCTGCTGGGAGGCACCAGGGTTAGTCTACCAGAGGATCTTCTGGAGGATGTAAGTGGTTACATTGTTGCAAGCATTTCCCACCTGCTAACAGCAGCTGTTGTCAAGCTAAGCTTTCCCACTATAGAGTTTTCCAGCCTGCTTTCTGTTTTTCCGCATTGTAGGTGAAGAGATCTTTTTTTTTTTTTTTT